TTCCAAAGAAGGACCCAGACGAGTGGGGATCAACGTGGAGACCTCAGAGTCGTCCCTGCTCATGTGGTTTAAAATGAATGTGCACGACTAGATTCATGGTGTTTTTGGAGAGAGACACACACACACGTGTATAGTGAAATGTACCCCAAGAAAAGCTGTGTTTACACAGGAAGGAGGGGTGGCGATCGGCGCACCTCACGGTGGTTTTCCTGGGAGCAGACAGAAACTCTTCTGGGATGCGGAATAACAGGAACCAGCCTCCGCGTCACGGCCAGGATGTTTAAAACAGCAGGACACTGAGACATTAGAAAGGTCACAGTCGGGCCATAAGGGTGAGGGAGCGTGGACGTGAGGCCACCCTCCCAGGGACACTTCCCGGGCCTCGCCTGGGAGGGCTTCCCGGCGGTGGTGTCTCGAGGCCCCGCCATCGTCTTCACAGGGCTGCTTGAGCGATGGCTCTCAAGGAAGGGGGGACAGGGGCCGGAGAAGGGAGGGCGCGGGTCTGGTTTCAGCACATCCTGAGTCCTTGGGGGGTGAGACAGAGCAGCTCAGAAGCGAGCTGCAAAGGTCTTTCGGGGTACAAGCCGACTGGCCCCCCCACCCAGTACCAACATCCCAGCGCCTGACAGCTAGAATGAAGGGACGGTGCCTGGTGGGGGACCAGTCTACCCGGGCACAGTCCCGGGGGACCCAGGAGCAGAGACCAGAGTGGCCAAGGCCACCAAGCCCGAGAGGACCCTCCCCCCACATCACAGGGGGTCTACGCAGACACCCTCCACGTTCGTGCCAGCTCCTCTTCCTGTCTTTACCGTGTGCCCCTGCGGTCACTCTCGCTGCCTCCCAGTCCCAGAGACTCAGGGCCCGCAGCCACAGTTGTCACTATGGTCGGAAGGGCGGGGCCCAGGGATTTGCGTGTCCTCCACAGGAGAGGGTCTGCGCTGCCGGAAGCACCAGGGGAAAGCTCACTGTAATTGCACCAAGAGCGGGGCACCGGGGGCGTTCCCTTCAACATCAGCTTTCCGTCCACGTGGGGGAGGGAGAGGATGGGCAGCGTGGGGGCAGCTACCAGGGGACACAGGGCTCAGAGGGAGGGTCCGCTCGGGGGAGCAGGGACGCCCCTTAATCTCCACGGGACGGTGCAAGGGAGGGAACCAAAGCACCCCCTGACCCGAAAGCCGAGGGCTGTGAGCAAACGAAGGAAAATAGGAAAAAGGCCCCTAATCGCAGGGGCAGTTCCGTTTCTGGAAAGTCAGGGGAGCTTTGGGGATGATCAGGGAAGAGGCTGAAGATCAGGGAGGCGAGCCGGTTTGCAGAGACGGGGGCCCAGAGGCGTGGGGGAGGGTGTGTGGTGGTTTGTGTGGCCCAGTCTAGGTGCTGAGGTCAGCGTCACCACGGTTCCCAGGACAGCTGGGCCACGTGCAGCCCTAGCGGGTGCCTTGGGGTACCTGTCATCACGTCTCGTGGGAGTTCGTGCTCCGCACGGGAGCCTGTGACCAAGAAGGGGGTGGGTGACGCTCAGCTGGGGCTCCCCGGTCAAGCAGGTCACTGTCCCACCCATCTAGTTCTCTCGACGGTGGCACCCTGGGGCGAAGCTGCAGAATTTGGATGGGTGGCCCTTTATTTCACGGTCTCACCTCTATGGTCAGAAGCAGAGAGTTACTGGTGCAAGCGCCCCCATCCCACGTGCTTTGGGGTCCCCAAGTCAAACTGTGTTCCCTGGGTGACCTCAAGATGCGAAGCCACACCACGGGGTTTAAGGCACAAAAAGTCGCTGCGATTGCTGGGAACCAGAGCCAGCGCGTTAGACACGGAAGGGAGTGGGCTGCTGTGCACCCAGCCGTCTCCGGGCGGGGGAGCCACACCTCCAGGGGCCGAGGACCCGGCCGGGCCCCATCCACGGGGCGGGACGTCCACTCCACAGCACTTGGCTCCAAGCGGTCAAGACAGGCTTTGTTTTTGAAATGTCCCCCAGCGCTCGGTTGAATGATATCTGTGGTGGGAACATGGACTCACAGGATGTTCTTGCAGCACAAATTATTTATCTGGGGAGGACGCTGTTCTCCGGGGAAGGGCCCGCCTCCCGAGCAGCCCGCTGACCTTGGGGACAAACGCCACTTTAGGGTAATTACACTGGAGAAGCAGCTGTCACAGAGCAGTGCTCACTGTCCATTCCCTTTAGAGATGGGAGCGGACTCCTTGTTTTCAGCATCTTCCTGAGGCCAAAAGCACAGAGTGTGGACCGGATTCCACCCAACATCTGATCTCACACGCGCCGCTCGGGGGCTCCGGGAATGTCCACGGGCATCGTCTGGTGTTGAGACAGAGGGGACCGTCCCTGAGAGAGAAACATTTACCGACTGAACAAAGTGTGGAGCCCCCGGTCCCAGTCCTTCTGGAACCAAGTGGGAAGGGCGACTGGGCGTTTCCCTGAGGCGCCTGTGCCTCCCTCTCCCTCTGCAGGGGTGGAGGGACAGCCGAGCTGTGGGAGCGGCCCCAGGGCCCCCAGTGGGCAAGTGGGTAAGGACGGGGTGCGGGGTCACAGGGAGCGGTCCTCGGCCGTGAGCAGAAGGCACTCCGACCGTCTTCCACAGCACGGACCTTCCCAGACCGTGTTGTGCTCGGCGAGTAGGTCAGAGAGAGCAGGGCGAGCACCGTGTGTTTCCATGTCTGGGGAGTCTAAGGGGCCAACAAATGAACCCGCAGAAGAGAAATAGACTGGCGAACTCGGAGAACAGACTGACAGTCCTCACAGGGGAGGAAGGGGTTGGGGGCTGCGTGGGAAAGGCGGGGGGACTGAGAAGAGCAGATGGGTAGTTTCGGGGAACACAGTAATACTGAGAAAAGGACGCTCCTCGGCGCCGGGTGAGCACTGGAAATACCGGGGAGACCGCTCTGCCAGGTGAGTGGCTGTCTGATTCCTGGGCTGTACCCCTGTCGACTGTAACCGAAAAAAGTATCAAAAGTAAAAAAATGTGAAGACAACGAAGCAGCACGTTCTATTCATAAAACCAAAACAAGGAGAGTTACCCCAAGGGGTCCAGTAGAAATCTTAGAAATTAAATGGATAGCTCTTAAAATGTTAGGAAAGGAAGCACCCCATGTTCCGTGTCCACAGTAGAGCCGCCGCAGCTGAATTCAGAGTCGTGGGCTGGCAGAAATGCATTCAGACGGTCCTTCGAACGTTACCTGGGAATTGAACACGGGGAGCGGGGGACGCCGGACCGCGCCCATCGGAAAGAAGCCGGCCACTCAGACAGAGGACACCCTGCGAAGCCTCGCACCGAAGGTGGACTGGGATCCCCGCGTGGGCTGTGCTCGGTGCCAGGCACCACCAGGCCTTTCTGCTGGACACGGAGGGCTCCCCTCAAGGGCGGACCTCACTGGCCCGCAGCCAGGCTGACAGGCCACACGGCCAGGTAGCAACATCAGTAACAGATGTCAGAAGCGTAAACATTACACCCTCAAAATGCTTGATGGGAAAAAAAACTCCACATTTAAGACTCCAAAGCCAGCCTACCTTTTTTTTTTTTTTTTAAGAAATACAAGGATTTGGAAAGTCCTCACCCACAGATCCTCGCTCACAGAAACACTAAACCAAGAAGGAAAACGGAGAAAGCAAAGCAGGGGACACAAAGTAACCGCAGGTGGAAACATCAGGGTGCGGTCGAGAAGCTGCCTAGCAACTGTGCGTGACTGGCGAAGACACAGTAACGAGGCGGCTCTGTGGAGCGCTTCTCTTCAGCCGGACAGCAACAACGTGGCAGAAGGAGGTGTGCGTGGGAGCGCGGGCTGTCGCTTTATTTGAGGAGAGGAGAGAGTGATTTAAGTGATGCCGAGACTTCAATTGAACATGCGTATTAAAAAATCTCTGGATAGCTGTTAAAATAATGGAATGTGTAACTATCGACTGCGTGCAGGCTCACGGAAAGGAATAAATAAACTCAGTGTTTAGAAAAAGGAGAGAAATGTTCACAGGACATAGGACAGTAAGAAGATATCCGAGTATATTATTGGTCACCCATTATTAAGGAACAGAGACCACTGAATTCAAAACACGGAGATGTGTTTTCTAATTAAAAAAAAAAGACCCAGAAATGGTGAGTGAAGGCCTCTGCTAATTAAAACAAAGGCGAGGTAGAAGTGGTAATACCAGACAGGAAAGGTTTTAGGAGGGATCTGTTATAGAGATTTCTAAAAGCCTCTCAATGAAAAGGCACAAAGGCTTGGTAGGCGTCTAAAGATAAAACTCCAAAGTCTACGAGCGAACACTGTTAGTTACTAGGAGATTTTGAAAACCCGGCTCATGTTGAGAATGCTACATTGTGTCCATCACACACTGATGGACGAAAAAGTGCAGAGAAGATTTGAATACAATGAATAATCCGAACGGCCCCCTGCACGTGGGACCTTGCCTGTCTCTACCAAAGAGAAAATGTACGTTCTCCCAAGCACATGAGGAATATTTACCAGAAAACTAATGGGCAGCAAGTTTCAACAGAATTTGAAGTTTCCAGACCTCATTCAATGAGAGGTCCACAGTGAACAAAGTCTTACTTTAAAACTTACACTTTTTGAAAGTAAAGTGCAGTAACAACTCCCCCCCGCCCACTCCCTGCCCGCATTTCTTAACAGTCCTGGGTTGGAAGAATCAGGCTACCACAATGATAAAACAGTTTCCGAGTGTTGATACGTTGTCTCAATACATCCCCTGGAGACCCTGGAAGCCCCCACTGGATGCATCTCAGCAGCTTCCTGGCAAAGCCCCGGCCCCAGGTGGTCTCCCATCCCCAGGGACCCGCAGGCCCTGCCCTGGGATTTGCAGCTGGCCTCCCGGTGGAGCCAGCAGAGCCTGAGGCGCCCCAGGGCCTGGGAGGAATGCAGCCTCCTCCCAGTGCAGACCGCTCCCCCCGCCCCAGCTCCCCTGGCTGGGGATTGGCCGCCAGCCACCCACCGCCCCCCCCCCCAGCGGCAAGGCAGGGCCTGCTTATAGTCCGCGGCGGCGGGCCGGCCCAGGTCCAGTGCCCAGTTCAATTCTCGAAGAAGAAGACGCGTTCTGCTCAGACCCGGTGCTCCCAGCGGGAGAGCCAGCCGCCAGCATGTGCAAAGGCCTCGCAGCCTTGCCCCACTCCTGCCTGGAGAGGTGAGCGCCCGTCCGGCTGCACAGTGGCATCTGCCCCGGGGAGGGCACCGTGGGCGGCGGCGGCAGAGGGCCCTGCCGGCAGGGGAGGCAGGGGCTGGGTCGCAGTGGGGGAGTCAGGTCCCTTGCGTGCCCCACAGAGGGTTTGTAGAGCCAGGCCCGGAGGGGGACGCGGCAGGGCACCCCCGCACTGTGTGGCACCCCGAGCATCGGCTGCAGCACAGACACCTGCTCTGTGGCCGCGGTTCAGAGTCCCGGATGCCACCTCGCACTGCCTGGCCGGTCTGCACCCTGTTCCCCTGTGTGAGCACCCTGTTCCTGTGTGTAAGCACCAGAGGGTTGCGTGGCGTCTCGGTTTTCCGGTCTATGAAATGGAGCCCAGGGCGTCGGCTGCAGGCTGGGCGGGAGGGCCACTGACTGCACAGGGAGCGGCCGGGACCATCTGGCGCCTGCGGGTCCTGTTTGATCGCCAGCAGGGAGGGAGGAAGTGGGCTTGTGGGGGGCACGGGGCTTCTCACCGCTCCGTGCCTCTGGACCCCGACCCCGCCAGGTGCAAGGAGCCGGAATGCCGGGCAGAGCAAGGCCCTGGGACAGGAGGTGGTTTATTGGCCACCGTTCTTCTCGGGCACGGACACACCCCGAGCCCCCTGGCTCCCCTGTTCTCGAGGGGTGGTCCTAGGTGGGCTAAGCCATCGGGACCGTGTCCGACCAGTCAGGAAGTTCACCCAGCGATCCCCCCGAGGCCCGGGGGGAGGGGCTTCCCTGGAGTTTCTGAGGAATGGGTTTGGTTGGGTGTGGGCTGAGCACTGGTCACGGAAGGGAACCGGAGGCCTGCCTGCGCACCCCGACTCCGTCCGAGTGGCCCCGGCGTGTCTCCCCACGACGGCCGTGCAGGCAGTGGGCAGCCAGTCCTCATGACCCCAGTTCAGGTCTTCTTTTTGGCAGCTTTTACCCTAGAAATAGCCCCCAAAGGATGTTTAAAGAGACGGCCTCATAGCAAAGGGATCTGTCTCCAAGATGCTCCAAAGCCCGCCCTTACTCCCTGGTGTCAAAAGAGGTTATTTTTAAAAGAGATAAAAATAGTAGCTCGTTAAGCGGTAGTGGTTACATTGTAACCAGGGAGTGGACATGGGCCGTCAGGCCAACCTGGGAGGGCAGGCGTCCCTGTTGGTGGCTCTCAGCCTGTCCCTGGCTCTCTAGAAAGCCGGAGGGTGGGAGAACCGGGCGGGCGAGCGGCGCCCAGAGGCCCCAGTCGTGAGGAGGGGCCGACTGTGTGCCCCCCCCCAAGTGTGCATCTCTGAGGATCACAACTCCCCCCACTCAACTTGAACGGGCGCCTTTCGCCCGCGTGTCACCTGGAACTGTCCCGCCCTTACCTGTGAGGGCTGGAGCCGCCTGGTTATCTGGGGACCAGGCGACTGCAGTGGGGGTGACGCCGGCCTGTGGCACATGGCCTGGCATCCGGGGAACCGGGCCGATCTCCAGGCGCTTGTGGAAAGCTCGGCGTCACTGTTGACGTTGCCTTTGTGTTCCTGTCGCCGTGCACCACGGGCCGAGACACACGGCAGGGACGCGCCTGTCCCTGCTTCTGCCCAGCTGGGGCTCTGTCACCACTGACAGTCCCCGTTTGTGTCCTCTGATGCGGCCATTTCTCACGCCGCCGGGCACAGCTGCCGGGCACGGGGCTCCTGCACCTCTCCATTTCCTGGCACGTGGCAGAACCCGCCGTTACCGTGTGTGTCCCTCATCACCCGTGACCGTCGGTCGTAAATGGAGTCACCTTTTCAATGCCAGTGCTGCCTCCGGGGCGCTGTGGGGACCGGGCAACGGGGGGCGGAGCTGGCAGCTTGCACTAGTGAGGGTCCCAGACCCGTCCCCGCTCTGCTCACCACCCCCCCACAGCCCCCTTCAGGTCTTCTCTCCAGGCTACTAAGGGAGCACGGCTGAGCCAGCCTCCAAGCTTAGGTCAAGGTATTTAACATCCGTGTAAAATAAGTCAGGGACACACACACACACACACACACACACACACACACACACTGCAGACCCATCGGTGTTTTACGGCAAACTCTCCGCCGCTGCGGCAAGAGCGCCGGTGAGAACAGGCTCTGTCTGGTCTCGGTCCCATCTGCACCCACGAGCCGCTGGTCTCTCATTCTGGGGGGCTGTTTCCTGAGGTGCAGCGTGAGCATTGGGTGACGCGCCCCCTGACGGCCCCCTCCAGTCTCACCTCGATGACATAAAGCGAGATGGAGCCGGTGCCAGCGCCGAACGAGCGATGCACCGAGGGGGACATTCTCCCGGTTCATTTCTCCCTGAAAGTTCGGGAGCAGGAAAGAGCCGATGATTGACAGGTCGCCCAGAAGGAGCCCAGCCTCGCGCCGAGTGCACAGCTGTGGTCGATTTACAGGGATGCAAATTCGGCCTCCTCCGCAGAGCGCTTTCATCTCAGGAAATATTTCTGTCTCCACGTTCCAAGCGGCATTAGCCGGAGTCCGCTTTGATGTATTTATAGGAGCTATTCTTTCTTTATATATTTAGATCTTTGAGACGATTGCTGATGAAAACTCCAAATTGACCTCGCATATTTTTATATATTTAAAGAGAACAATCATCTCTGTGGAGTCTGAGCCGCCAGGGCCCCCCACCCCCGGCCTGGGCTCTGGCCCCCGGGGCCTGTCGGAGTCCGAGTGGGGGCAGATCAGACCGTTTGGGGAGGGAGCTGAGTCAGCTGAAGGGCTTATCTTCCGACCAGTGATTAATCAACCAGCAATTTTAGCCTTCTTCTGAAAAGTCACTGTATTTCCAGGGCCTCTTGAACTTCTCTGAAGGAGATTATTTCTTAAAGTGAACAGCGCTCTTTGGGAAATGAGGAGAGTATTCTGACATATAAAGTGTTATTATTAGGGTCCCCAAAATGTCACCCTAATAGCAAGCAGCCAGCACGGTGACGACTGTGTTCGTCCACCACTGTTGACGTCCTGATGCCCAGGGTGTGGTCTCAACCGACTGGGGCAGGGAGGGACGGTGAAGGCCGAGCTGGGGACAGAGGTCCCCCCAGGGCGGGGCGCGGGTGTCACGAACCCCTCACCTGCGCCGCGTGGGTCTGCTTCCTGCTGAGGTCGCGCGGCTGCTGCCGGGGGCACAGTGGGTGTGACCCACAGTCACAGGGGCTCGGCCTTCTCAGGCGGGGCACGCGGGAGCGTTCCAGAGCTGTACACGTGTACGGGGAAGTCACGCTCTGGGTCCGCATTTTACCGAGTGTTCCATTCCCTCCCCACCCCCTCCCCCATCGCCTCTGGGTTCTGTGGGTCTCACGTGGGCGGGCGGTTTGGGGTGGGACAGCGCCTGGAAGCGGGACCTCGAGTTAAGGACTGTTCCTGGGGGGGGGGGTTCAGCCACGGAGGGGCCCGGGCTCCAGGGTCTGCCGGAGTCGACTGAGCGTCTTCCTCCCAAGCCCTCCGGTCCTTGGAGAAAAAGGACCAGGACAGAGTGAAGTGTGGGGGTTAACTCAGACCAACTCCGGCTCAGTGAGGACAGACCCCGGACGGTCCGAGGAGCCGGGAGGCAGAGACGGCAGCTGGCAGAGCTCTGGCGGAGCGTCAGGTCGTACCTCCGGGGAACAGGCGTGAACCGGGAGCTCGGGGCGAACCTGGCTGCAGAGGGTTCGGTGAAGCTCTGTGTTGTTGCAACCGAGAACGAGCCGTTTAACAAAGGGGGGCGGGCGCCAGGAGAGCCCCCGCTTCTGTCCTAACGGGGAAACAGCGTGGACTGTTCCTCCGGTGCCGCTCAAAACTGTGCGCCTGCCTAACAGGAGAAGGTGCCCTGGGTGCGGGGACCCCTGGTGAAGGAGCCGCCGTGCACCGAGTCCTGAGCAAACAAGAGCAGGTGGGCTGGGGTCCTGGGGCCCAGGGAGCTCCTGGTTCAGGGAAAGTCTGCCCGACAGTCACACGGGGCTCAGCTCCCGAGAGGGCCAGGGGTCGGCCGGGGCCAGGCAGGAGGGGGGCGAGGGTACAGGGCACGGCACTGCTCAGCACCGTTGTACCATCCCCACCTTCTCTCCAGGCCAGTCTGGGGGGAACGCCGGATTTCCCGCCCCAGGGCCCCCCGCCCCAGAAGACCCTCCAGTGATCCCACTCCCTGCTCTGGAGATTCAAGAGATTTGTGCAGGAGAAAGATTTTCATCTCCTCGGCCTAAAAATTAACTTACCAAGAAGACACGCAGCGGTCTTGGCACGTAATGGGCCCTCGATGACCATCGAGGGTGGGAGGCCTTTGGCCACCGGTGGGTGTCACCGAGCCGAGCTGCCATTTCTGCCGCAGGCCCGGTCCAGCTCCGGGTTCCGACCCGTCACCGCCTCCTCTCCCTCCTTCCTGGGTCTGGGCCGGGCCAGATTGCCAAAGCCCAGCGCAGACCCTTGCTGGAGCCCAGAGCCTTGCGTCTGGAAGGACCCTGGACGGATGGTCTAGCCTGTTTTCCCTTGTTCAGCCGGGCCTGCACCCTGTCACGGGAGAGGTGGTATTTGGGGACAGTTTGGGTTTGGGGGGCCAGTGTTAATGACGTTCGTCCGTCCTGCTGGCCAGATGAACCTTTAATCGTCAGATCAGGGTCCCTGGTAACGGGACATGGCTGCAGGCCAGAGGTACCGGGTCCCCGTCTTTCTCCTCTGAAGTCCCAGCCAGCTCTCGGGCAGCAGGGGTCTGCGCGGTGCTGTAAAGGCAGAGCCCCCGGCAGGTAAAGAGCGCGGAAGCCTGGTGGACGGGTGGTTTTCCAGCCGCCTTAGATGGTGACTCCTAAACCGACACCTTTTAGGAACGTTGAAGACACCCAGAGCAAGGAGGGACACCGGTTCAGCCCACCCTCTGCCTTTGCCTGGCCCCGGGAACGGCAGCAAGGTGTGGGAGAAGGACCTGGGTGGGTGGACCCCTGCCCCGGTCCTTCCTCGCTGTGTGTGCTTGGGGAAGTCTGTGCCCCTCTCTGGGCGTTACCTGCAAATGAGCGT